ATCTGTACAGAGGTTCCATGTCTCGGTGATACCAGGGTGAAAGCGCACTCCGCGTCGTCCAGTGTCACCCTCACTATCCGCTCCTTTGGAGCTCCGATGTTATCTACAATATCCGACGAAGGGCCTTTCGCGTGCGATCGCGTTTCCTTGCCACCCGACAGGGCAACAAGGAATTGGTGGACTATGTCCAAGAGATGCGCGCTCTCATTGCCGTGATGACAGCAGATCCCCGTCAAGGGCGGTCACAGTAACCATTTTTATGGAAGGCCTCCGCACTGGCGTGGCCAGAATGGATGTCTTCCCTGTGCATCCGTCTTCGCTTGAAGAGGCGGTGGATGTGGCATTGAATGTCGAATTCAATTTCAAGTCGGCACGACTAGATTGAAATGCACACTCAAACATCTCGTCGAGCGGGCCTGTGCCCATGGATCTCAGCTATGCTGAGGACGAGGGATCAAAGCTCCGTGCTGCCGGGCAGCACACAAACACACAACGGTGTTTTGTTTGTGGGGATACCCATCACCTTCGGAAAGGTTGCCCCCTGCGCAAGGCGCGTCAAGGTTTTTCAAGCCATCGCCCCAATGCCTACATGTCTGGTTCGTCGCTGGGAAACGACACCACCCAGAAAGCGCGGGGCGACCTACTGGGGAAGAATTGAGTTCTGTTGAGCCTCAGGGAGGCAACGGTCAACAGGGCCCAGCCCCGAAGAGCTCCGTGCTTTCAAACACGGAACATGTATGCAAGTTAGGCTTGCTGGTCGTGGAAGCGACCGTAAGGGGATTCGAGAAGCCATGGAAGATCCACATCGATTCAGGGGCGTCGGGCAGCTATGCGCGACTCTCCACGATGGAACGAAGTCAGCTGTATGCTGAGGCGCTTAAAGCACGGTTGGGTGACATCGTCACTGTTCGCCTAGCGACGGGGACACGGTCACGGTCCCTGTGGAACTCGGAGTCAAGTTCCTTGACTTTGATAGCGTGGAACGCTATCTAGTCTTAGACTTGTGTGCAAAGTATGACCTCATCCTAGGAATGTCATGGTTGAAACACCATGAGCCATGGATTGATTGGAGGTCAAAGACCTTGGGCGCTAC